GTACATTCTTTTCTAATTTTTTCATTAATGTTTCCTTGGCACACAGATATACAAGCGGTCCCCAAAATATCCCATTTAATATTGTGTATACTGAAGAACTTCTGCTTAAGCTCATACAGTCTCTAACCTAAGCTTATTAGGAAGTAAGGAAGCATTAGCATTAAGAATCCCTTGCTCTCTATTTTGTTGAAATTGGACAAGAAACATACCAGTCAGCTGCTTCAACTAAAGGCTAACCTACTCTTCACTACTAGTGTACTAGTAAGATATATTATAAGCCTAGGTTTTACAGACCTGACAGAGCTGTCCTTCTGTAAGATTAAGGGCTTGGCTAAGTTAATAGACTACTTATGTTGGTTTACTTTCATTACAATAGGGAGTTGTGTCTTTCGGTGTTGTTAATACGCTGACACTGTGGTCTTTTTGGGAATCCTTCTAGTTCGCGTATAAACAACGTAAGTCCATGTTATCCACAAAGACCTGTAATTTGAATTGAAGTGGACTTGGGGCTCAAGACCGACACTCGAACGTAACGTAACCATAACAGTGACGAATTTTATTGCAATTTAAAAATAACAATAAATTGCTTATAATATTTTCTTTTGTTTTACTATGTAATAAGCGAAGCCCTACTATACAGAGTTAGTGTAAACACTAACTTTTTTACTTACTGAAGTTTAATTTTGTGTTTAGACTATTGTAATGAATCCTATCTATAAGCAGTAAAATGTTATAAAAAACCATACAAAATCTCTATAAAAATATGTTAAAGATGATCGATAAGTTTAAGTGTGAATTTAATATGTATATATTCATAAGCAACTTTTGAAGGGTATTAAAGTTTTAACAAAGCCAAAGCCAAATTATTTATTTATTTATTTATTATTATAAGTATAATAATTTTATTTATTTATATATAAGTCAAATTAATTTAAAATTTAATAAAAATAAACATATGTGTATATTTATATTTTTTTTTTTTTTGAAATAAACTAAAATTACTTTTTAAGATATTTATTTATTTGCAATCAAATAAAGCACAGAAGTTATAGTGAAGTAAAATATTCAGAAATTAGAGTTTGGGACTTTAATTTTTTTCTTATTTTCAGTAAAAAGAGATCCTACTTTATTCATACTCTTATAGTGATCATCAGTTGTAGTAACATTCGTTTCCAAATATAAATTTAGAATTTTGAATGAGTCTTCTACTTCATTCTTGGAAGGCTGATGAACTATTACATCCACGAAACCCTCATCATCAATTTCCGTTGCGCTTAGAGTTGGATCCAGTAATTAAGAGCTATGTAGCGCTCAATAATGTCGTCATCTGTAGGAAAGCTTGATGTACAAATTTCATTGTCAAGCTCAATATAATCGTTAAGAGTAGCATTGGAAGTTATTATTGGAAGTTACAAAGAAGCAACATAAGAAAGAAAAAATTAAACATTTGGTTTGGAGAAAGGGACTTTCCCTAACAGCAAAATGCATTTATACTTAAAACAAAAATTCGACTTATAGAATGCACTTTCTCATATAATATTCGAATTATAGAAGTTCGAGTTATGGAAGCAGAATTGTATGTAATTTGCTCTCAAAACCTTGGTGCACTGTTTTTGGTTCGAATTATAGAAAATTCGATTTATAGAAGTTCGAATTATGGAAGTTTGACTGTATTTACATATGTACATGCATAGTAACATGTATAGTAATATATTTTATGTTATAGGACCATGTTATATTTATACCTCATATATTTAAAAGATATTATTCTGCACTATATAAATGACTTCTAATAACAGTGAAACAATTGTAAAGTAATTCAATGAATTTTCAAATTTCGAATGTTTTTGATTAATTTTCCTGAATTTAAACATGGAAGTGCTCATTTGTATTTCGACTTCCTTTAAAATTTTATATTTTGCATGGAGTACTAAAAATGACATAACGGCGCCAAACTCTTTGGTATGCGGTAATTTGTGGTGAGTTCAATTCAATAATAATCGCGGGAACCGGTTACCCGAGACTGTGCTCAGCCATAAACGTACCGTGGAAGAGTTCCTTATTTAATTCGCGATATAAGTCAGCTAAGCCAGCTTAATCAACGCTTGTTCGATGAATACTCAAGTGCGAATTGATATATGCAAAAATAAATTATTTTGAATTCAAAATTTATTTCTGTACCGTTTTGGCTATGAAAAAACTACGCTTACTGCTGAGCAGGCAGGCAAAGCCGAGAGATTCAATTATGAACAAAAATGCATAAAATATTTATCTGATAGGTTAATGCCAGCATTAAAATTAATTATGTGTCGCCACAGCATAATTTATTTTTTCATCTCTGTGATATACAATGCAGCATTTATCATCTTCCAGCAACATCGAGAATTTTTTTTTATAAATAATTTAATTGATGTCATGCGCTGCTCTTATTAAAGTCTTCTTCATTTTAAACTCAATATTGAAAGATGAATGTAATTTCTTAGTGAACAGTAGCGGATTAAAAATTGTTTTTCTTAATTACGATTTGAATGAATTTCATTAAATTTCTTTTAAAACAATCCTTAATTGTTACCAGGTGATTGTAGTTTGTTAATTCAGTTCATTGTATTATTAAGACATTACACAGATTTTTTGTTGGGAACCGGGTTAATGGTCAGGCCCCCACATTTCATCAGTATTAAGTTAAATATCCATACGTGACAAATTTATTTCGTACACTTTTTAAAAATACCACAACTGCTTCCATAAATAACTGCATTAGTCCCACTCCGCGCCGATGCATTCTGCAGCTTCGGTAAACTGGTTAAGTGGAAAAGGTAACAGATTTAAATGCTTATGAGAAGCAAACAAATTTAAGTGTTAAAAATACAACAAATAACCTTGAAAAGGAAAAAAGCCACAAATATTAATCACGAATTACTGCGTTAAGGACCAATGAGTCCATGTCTTGTTAAGACCTTATAAGGTAACATGGCATGTTGGCCAAAAATGGTCAACATATCCGTTGAAGACATGAAATTAAATGACATTATGCAGTGCGAGATGATAAAATGGTAGGCATACGCGACACAATTGTGTAGTACAGAATTATTTAGATTATTTAGATTGCAAGCATGAAGAAGATGATGACAACGACCGCTTGCAAATCATCTTCGGTTGCAATCTTTGTATTTGCTTTAATATAGTTACTTTTGCGATATAATGACGAAGATATTCGTTTTTATAATACGATTCGTCTTCACTATGTTTGCGGACTTGGCCAGTGATTTTCAATAAAAAACATACTGCGGATTAAATATGTTTTACAAGAACAGATAATATATTTAATATTATTTTTCTGAAAGAAATAATATCATTAAAGCGGAAAATAAAATTATTTTCAAACTGATTGGGCTGATAGCGGCAGTGGTCCGTGAACCAACGGTTAAGGAACCCTGTACTAGGTGATTTATAGATGTAAGGTTGTGTTATATTAAATATTTATATAAATAAATATTTTAAAAATATTAATATAAATATAAATATTTTAAAAAAAATTACTGTTTATGTACATACCATATATGTAATATGTTGAATATTTAGGTTAAGAAAGATTGGATTGATTTTTTTTATAACTGGCTTCAATAAAGCTACTTGTTATTGTGGTATTACTCCCTTTAATTTAAATTGCATACTATCTAATATATCCGTGATATCGAGTCATTATATAAGCTTAAGCAGGTTTTGGTGTACGAGGCACCAAAAAAAGATCAGCTATTTTGAGTAACTTTTGTCTTTAAGCTATATATCGATATACTAAATGCAAAGTCTGGATTTTCAAAAGGATTGGAATCAACTGCATATGGAGCGGAATAAAAGTTGATTAGAATAATTGCGTGCTCTCTAAGAATTTAAGCAGGATTAAATCTTATGCAAAGTAAACTTAAGGTTCACGTTTTATTAGAAGATATCAGTTTGATATTACCTATAAAGTTTTAGGCAAAAAGTATGACGAAACTTCATTCATTAACGCATATAAATTGTGGTTTGAAAATCCAGATGGAAAATAAATGGTGTAGTTTAGCGAAATCTACTGAATTGATGGGGAGAAATTACTCTCTTGTAATCATGACTGGAACGCGGATGCTAGAAGTGAAATATAAGTAAAAATTATAAAATTAAAATCCAAAATTAAGAAATTAAAAAATTATTTTAACTACTTTAAAGTGTGTTTGGGGAGAGAGCATTGAGTCTCAATCTTCTATTGATTTAAGCTCAAAATATAAACCATCTAACTATACTTCATAGCTGATTAAGCAAGATATAAAAAATGTGATCTATGGTTTCAATAAACTCGTGTTTATATGGTTTTGATATAAAAATTGTGATATACTCGTATTTATTATTTAACAAAATAACTTTATCTTTATTTATTTCGGTGTTAAAAAGTAACTAGAAAGTCTGAATAATAACTAATCATTTATCAAACGAGAAATTTTTGATACAATAGAATGATTTCTCTAATGCAGACTGTAGAGCAAAATGTTTCGATATAAAATTACAATTATTTGGAGGATGCCAGACAGTTAAGACAATTTAACTGTTTATCAAGTCATAAAATGGAATCAAATTAAGAGAAAAATTGCATCCCACAAAGTCAACAACTGTTAAATTTAATATTGGCCTAGGCTAATAAAATATATCATGACATTATCCCAGCTGCTATCTTGACCACAAATGCAAAGTCGTGCTCAAGGACATGAAACAGGAAATAGGTTTTTTTATCTTTGGGTTTTATGAGAAGGTAATTCCGTTTACATTTTACCATATGAGTTAAGAACATTAACTAAACTTAAACACCTCAGTAGACGTCATCGATTTTAGTATAAATACGCTAAACTACTTTCAATTTGAACATCAGTGAAGACTAAACTTCTTACAAGGCATCATTCCTTAACGCTGGCAGCTCGAAAAGAAACTAAACGAATGAAGCAGTTGTAGGAAGTTTTTTGGAATTAAAGATGGCTCAAATTATACGTTTAATCCTTTTAACATTATTGGCGGTGAGCACGGTGCATTCACTAGCTATTGGTTATCCTTATCGCTCAGAATTATTGGCATACGCTCCAGCACGTGGTCAATTTCCAGTCAGTAGCTTATTGGCGCAGGGTTATATACGTTATTTAGATGCCAATGGTGTGGAACGTTTGGTTGGTTATACTTATCCTGAACCATTACATGGTGTGAGAAGGCTAAGTTATGGCAACGAAGATATTGTCCAACCATTACTGAAGTTCAATGTTCAATCTGGTGACGAAAGTGATGCAACGCGGTTACGAGATGAACATTTTCGTATTTGGTATGAACAACGCTATCAGGCACTAAAACTTGAACGTGAAAGATTACGTGCGGAAGGTAAGATACCCTCACCTGATATGTTAGCTCAATTGATCCGCTTAGAGCAAATACTTTTCGAGTCTAACCAAATGCCAAATGTTGAAACACCTGAAGTGAAACTGGCACGTGAGGAACACTTGCGGCTTTGGAATGAGGCGCGCCTTAAAGTAACACAAAAAGAAGCCGAACAACAGAAATTACAAACCATTAAGGAAAATAATTCACAAGAGCCTAATAAATTGGCCAATACTGGAGAGTTAAAGACTTATCATGAATTGCCTGCAATAGTTGGGGAGACTGCGGAGCAGAAGAAAGCACGCGAGGAACATCTACGTATTTATAATGAACATCTATTGCGTATAAAGCAATTGGAAGATGAACGTAAAGCTGCGATGAATTTGGTAAAAATGGTTGAGCCAATAAAACAAGAGACTGTAAATGATGCAGCACAACCAAGTCAGATTGTGGTGGAAACACCAGAAGTTTCGCTAGCTAAGGCAGAACATTTTCGTTTGTGGAATGAAGCAAAATTACGTGCTGAGAAGGAAAATATTGAGCAATCTAATGATCAAGTCACAATTGATAACGCTAAAAATCCATTGATATCTGACTTTAAAGCTATTTCGACTGGTGTACAACAGAATGTACAATCACTACAGCAGAACGAAGCAAATCTTAAAAACTATGCAACCACGCAGCAATTCGGGGCCTCACAAAAACCAGTGCAAGATACACCAGAGGTAATACGTGCGCGTGAAGAACATTTGAGACTTGTTAATGAAGCTAAACTTAAAGCAGCTGTAATACCCTCTCCAAACACTGACTCAGTTGTAATACCAGCTGTTGAAAGCAAAGGCTCTGAAATGCAGCAATTTGCTTCACTTGTGGGTAACGTACCACTAACTCCTCTTTCTTATAGCGTACCCCTACTTAAGGGAGAACAAACAAATATTCTGCAACAAAATGAGCAAGTACAGTACACACCAGAAGTAATACGCGCCAGGGAAGAGCATTTAAAACTATTGCAGGAGGCCAAGCTTAAATCAAACGAATATCAGAAGAACGAGCAGATTGCTATAGCTGACAACCAGCATGACTACCGCCCAATAGCGGAAGCCGATAAGCTTAGAGCTGTGGAGCATATGAAAGAAGAACAAATGTTCCTTGAAGCTGAACGATTGCGTGAAGCTGAACGTGTACGCGCTGAGGAAAGGGAACGCATAGCGCAAGTTATGCTAGAATCTGAACGTCAGGAAGAAGAAGAACGTGCCATGATTGCAGAGCGTATACGATTACAAGAAGAAGAAGCACTTCGTCGTGCAACAGAAAAAGAAGCTGAATCCAAAATATATCAAACCGAACAGCAAGTGATTCTGAAAGCAACACAACCGCAACAAATGGCTGAAGTGCCACAAAACCTGGGTATAGTTAAGTCTTTAATACAATCAGCACCAAATCTACAGGATAATAAATTACCATATATGGCACCATTACCAGCACAGCCAGATGCTGCTATTGCTTCAGATAAATATATTCTTGGACAACAAAAACTGGCACTACCTCAGACAACGGGCTATGTATTGCTCGCTTCAGCACCTCCAAATGCATTCCATTTAAAGAATCCATTTTTGCTCCGCTACACGAATGCAATCAATGGCATTAATGTTGTGGCACAGAAACAGCAGTTGAATAATAAGCCATTGGAGATAAGTCCGCAGCTCTACGAAAAAGCCACATTGCTACCAGAGAATCAAAGTGCTGCAATAAAAATCAGTTATGGCGCAGATAGTGGACTGAGTGAATTGGAAAAGGCCACTCGTGAACATTTCCGTGCTCATGAGATTGCTTTGGAACAATTGCGAATAGCGAATTTAAGGGATGCACAAGAGAAGAATTGTAATTAACGCATGAATAACAACGACAAAGATGGCAAGAATTT